CTCCCTGCTCCACGGGGAGCCTGCTTCTCCCTCTGCCTCTCTCTGTCTCTTATGAATAAATAAATAAAATCTTAAAAAAAAATAAATCAGTGAGTTGAGCAAAGACTAAAACACAAGGGCATACCTGTGCAATATGTGGTTGACTTGAAGTAATGAGGAACAATGGAAAATATTTCGGGTGATAGAATGAAAATCCAAAATGCCAAAGAAAATACCACAGAGATCAAGGTCAGATTCTGCCCTGGGCTCCCAAAACCCAGGCATGAGCACAAGGTGGGGAATGACTGGCTGGCAGCAAGGCTCCAGGGCTTGGTCAGTGGAAAATGCACCTGAGTCAGAAGCTTGATGGAGGGAGCTGCAAAAGCTGTAGGGATCTGGAGCAGCATGTATGGAAGTGAAGCATTCAGAATGAGGAAGGCATCAATCTTGCACAACACTGAATGTCAAAGATGGCAGCTATTCAGAGATGCAGTTGGTTGCTTTGTGAAGAGATGTCTAACTCATCATCCCTCTCTTTCCCAGCCATCTCAGGAGGTGGTAAAGGAGATGATACAGTTCTCCAAGGATACACTGGAAAAAATTGACAAGGCTCGCTCTGAGGGTCTGTACCATGAGGTAAGAATTCATTTTTAGAGGGATGGGTAGGGGAAGAGAGCAGAATGGTTTTCTGGCAAGGTGGGGAGATGGGGTGGGGTGGAGATGGGGAGGCTATCGAGCAGGTTGTTTTTCTGGAGGATGTCTGTTGGTTTGGACTGTGACTCTTCTTGCCTTTAGTGCCTCTTAGAGGTGTGTTCTTAGTGATTGTTCAGCCTACTGAAGCTGGGTTTGGGGAGAGCACAGGCAGCCTGACAAATGTCCCCGGGGGATCTGTGATATCTCAGGTTGGCATCAGAGGTGGAGGAATGGAGATGGCAGTGGATTGCTTGCTTTTTCGTAATTGAATGCATGTCCTGGCTGCAGTTTTCAGTCTCTACTGAGCATTCAGCCCCGGCTCTCAAAGCAGCAGGAATTATCAACTGGGTGTACACTAGAATCGTTGAAAAATCCTGATGCTCAGACACCGACCCAGGACAATTTTATCCAAAATCTCTTGGGGTGGAGCCCAGACGTCAGGACTTTTAAAACTTTCAAGTGATCTCAACAGGCACCCAAAGTTGAGATCCCCCTGCCAAACACTGATCTGCAGAGCATTTGCATCAAATTCACCTGGGCAGCTTGCTGCAAATGCACAGTCCTCTGTCTCACCCCCTCAGATGTGATTCATCCAATCTGCAACAGACTGTGAATCCAAGCTCTTTAAACATCTCAGGCATGTAGCTAGGTTTGGAAGCCACCAAGGCATGGCAGTGTGAGAGATTAACTTGTGTTCATTTCTATCTGCTTTTCCTTTATCTTCATCCTCCTCATTTACTCATTCATTGCACATTTTTGAGCCCTTAGTGGGGTGACCAACACAAGACTTATTCCTCACTGGAACCAATGCGACATTCTCCTGGTGGGTCTCCCAGCCTCTTGGGAGCCTCCCTCTCTGCCAGCTCATCTTGTACACTTCCCTTGGGGAATGATTGTCCAACATCACTGTGCATAAGGACCACCCAGGTACAGATGCCAGGGTCCCTCCCCCAGATATTTGGTTTCACTTGGTCTGGGGCAGGGCCCAGACAACGCTGTTTTTAAAAAGGTCTCCAAGTAATTCCAGAGCCCAGCCAGAGTGGAGAATCACAGGAATGGTGGTTAAGATAAAGCACAACTGCTTAGTTTGAATTCTTGCTCCATGTTTTACTACCTGTGTGACTTTGGCAAAGTACTTACGCTCTCTGTGCTTCAGTTTTCTTATCTGGCAAAATGGGAATATTAGTAGTACCTATGTCATTGTATTGTTGTGAGAATCAGTCAATCACTCAGTCTCTCCCTTTCATAACTCTCTGCCACCTACTGATTATGAGAACACCTCATTTTGCACGTTGCCGTGTCAGCCACGTCTCCCACCGGTACCGTCTTCATCCCTACTCTGTAGCCAAATAGGACCGTTTTGCTATTCTGATTACAAACCGGTGCTTTTCCTCCCCGTCAGCAATGTCCTCAACCTTAAAAGAATGAGTGTCCAGTGTCGTGGTGGTGCTCCCCTATGTGAGTGCAGTGGTAATGGACAGGGCCCGTGTCTCCTCCAGGTTGTGAAATTATGCCGGGAGTGCCTGCAGAAGCAGGAGCCAGTGTTTGCCGACACCAACCTCTACACGCTGCGGATGCTGAGCACTGTTTCCGAGGTCCTCTCCTACCTCCAGGCCTTTGAGGAGGCCTCGTACTACGCCAGGAGGATGGTGGATGGCTATATGTAGGTAGCAATGCTGGGTCTCAGAAAGTACCCTGGAATGTGTCTGTTTCAGGGCTGGCATGTAGACGGCACACACGTTGCTACGTCCCCCTCCTGTAACCTGCAGCAGGCATCAGTAATCGATCGTGGTCCTCTTTATCTTTACCACTGAGCCTTTTTACCATGGTGCTCCGAGTAGTAGTGACCACATCATCAGGGCTGGTACCCGACATGAAACCTATCTGTCATCCCTGGTCTTTCCCAAATCCTCCAGCTCATCTATCACATGGGTGGCGTCTCCTGCTTTTAGTTTTCTTAAGGCTAAGTCCCGCCTGATTGTAAGTGCTTCAAGAAGTTTCTCCCCCTAGCAGTCAGCACAGGCAACCTTTTCTTTTATTTAAAAATGAATGAATGAATGAGGTGTTAGCCATCCTTGCTCACAAATTATAAAATGCAAAGCCCTTGCCTTCTCTCTGCCAATGTCTTCTCTTGCCTTCCATGTCCTGGTTGGCATGTAACTTTGTATCTTTGGCCAAATGAGTAAGTTGGCACAAGCAGGTTCCATTTTTTTGAGAGAATGTTACTCATAAACAAAAGCCAGGAAAATTAGTACGATATGCTAAAAGGAAGCTCTGTTAGGAGGGTGCCAAGGAGGTGAGACTACAGTTCTGTCCCAAGAAGGACATTCAAGTTCTTTTTATTCCCCTGAACTGCTTTCCGGGAAGAGGGCTGGGGTGTCCCTGAGAGCTCCCCACTTCCTGTTCTCTTGTGGAGTCCTGACTCTTTTGCCCATGAGGAGTTGGCTTCATGGCCCAGGGCAGTCTCAGCTCCCACAGCCTTACCATGTGGGGTGTTTGGTAACTCCTCCCCTTCTCTGTGGCTCAGTCCCTGCTCCATGGGCTGTAGATACCTCACAGCACTGGTGGGAAAGCAGATGGACCAAGTCAATGAGAATACTTGGTGAGTTGTCAAATGCTGTGCAGATATAAGGAAGGTTGGGATTATCTGTGACAATTATTTTCTGTGTCCCCACAGGAAGCTCTACCACCCCAACAATGCCCAACTGGGCATGGCCGTGATGCGGGCAGGGCTGACCAACTGGCATGCTGGCAACATTGAGGTGGGGCACGGGATGATCTGCAAAGCCTACGCCATTCTCTTGGTGACACATGGACCCTCCCACCCAATCACCAAGGACTTAGAGGCAAGTAGCATTTCAGGGCCTGGCCTTCTTTTCTGTTCTGAGCTCTCTCTACAGATGGGAGCTGGGTTCTGGACTCTGCTTTTGGAAAGTCCATAGATTGCCCACTGGACCAGAAGGGAATTCAGAAATGCTTTAGTCCAACTCGTCGTGTTTTACATCTGAGCAAACTGAGGCCTGGGAAGGTCTTAGCCTGGTCATAGTCACATAGCGAGTGGATGGCAAAGTTGAGGTTTGAAGCCTGAGATGCTCCAAGCGTGGATGGAGAAAGCCTACCCAGCAGTGTGCATGCAGGCACATACATTGGAAAATGTGCTGCATAGAGTGGAGCTGGGGAGCACAGGCTCTGGAATCAGACTGCTGTGATTAAACTCCAGCTTCACCACTTTCTAGCTGTGTGAGCGCACACATGGAATGTATGGGCCTCAGTCTCCTCATCAGTAAAATGGAAAAAAGGGATAGGGTTTTAATAAGGGTTCTGTGAGTTAACATGTGAAAAGCAGTCAGAACGGTGCCTAGCAAATGACGTGCTCTTAATAATTGCTGGTTTCCTTTGTGCTTTGAAGAGCTGGTTTTTTTGAGGGTGACGGCGTCCAAAGGACTGTCCAAAGGCAGTATGGTACACGTAAAGAGGACAGACTTTGGTGCCATAAAATGTCTGAGAAGGCTAACTTTATGACTAGTACATTAAGCCTGTCATCACTGTTTATGGTGTGTCTGTGTCCCAAAGGCCATGCGGGTGCAGACGGAGATGGAGCTGCGCATGTTCCGCCAGAACGAGTTCATGTACCACAGGATGCGCGAGGCTGCCCTGAACAACCAACCCATGCAGGTCATGGCTGAGCCCAGCAATGAGCCAGCCCCGGCTCTGTTCCATAAGAAGCAATGAGGACCTGTCTGGTGGGGGAGGGGCATTGTGGCTGGGGGACAGGGGAGACATTCTGGAGGTAGTGGGTTTCTGGGAAGACCCTTGATGAGGAAGGCAGAATAATGTTCACTCTTTTTGCTCTGGGAATGTACTGTTCTGTATTCCTCAGTTCATTTTGGTTCATTTAAACTTAGTTCAATTCCCAATTGAACTCTATCCCAGCCCAGCCTAGCCCAACTTACCCTGCAAATATTTATTGGGTCGAAGGCCCTAGGGATAAAGAAACTTCAATTGTAGTTGGGGAGGCAAACTGTTAACAATTAAAGCACAGTATAATAAATGCAATGGTAAACTCTATAGGGGGGTGCAGTGACGGGTATATGTCTGGTATGTGGGGGTGGTGTGTATGCATTGGGAAGTGTGTCATGGAGGAGATGACATTTGAGCTGGGGGTAGCAAGTGCCTGGAGTCTCAGATGGCTGCTCACCTATCTGTGCGTATCTCTGGGCCTGCTGGTCTTACTCATGGTCTAGAATACTCCGGTCTTATCTGACGAGGATGGGTGATGTTCAATTTCCTCAGGTTAGCGTGGAATTATGAAGAAGGGTTTGGACCATTTAGGTTCTACTCAGAGAACCAAAACCTCTTAGTAAATATGACAATGAGGTGAATATGCAGAAAGAGGTGGGGCTTTGCCCTAGCCACTTGAGGCCCCAGTTTAAGGTCTGGATTCCAAGTATTATTCGGAAACTATTTCTAAAACACCCAGGAGGCGTCTCCTTCCCCCACCCTCACTGCCAAGCCTTGATTCCCTGTGATGTGGGTGCCACTTGGATGGTATCTGAGATTTTCCTGGCCATTGGCCAACCAGGATTGAAGTCTTAGCAGGATGAAGCTGAGGGAGAAATTTGGAAACATGCACACCTGATGGTCCTGGGTTCAGCAGAATTGGTTTTAGGGAATTTTATTTGGTTCCATGTGCCTGGATGGTCTTTACCAGCTTAGATGTAATCATTGGCCCCCAGTAAATTTCTGTTCTTAGTAAGGAATAATTATGATTTCCTTTGCTTAATTTCTTTCACTGCCCATGCCCTGGGACCTCTGCTCTTCTCACCAGGAGGAATGTCTAATCCAGACTCCACACGCCTATGTTAGGATCTCCTTGGGAATGTGACGACGAACTTGCCATCACGTCCTGGGAGGTTGCTGTGGTTTCCACCCAAGAGTGAGGGTCTTGGAATCAGCCAATCTAGTTGTCCTGTTATCTTCTGGAGTTCTAAAATTCTCTCCAATGTTTTAGGGGAATCCTGGAGCAAAGCTATCCATTTGGGAATGTCACCAAGTCTTCCATACCATCTGGGGCCACCGTTGACCACAGAGCTCTAGCTACCATCTTGAAGTGATCCCACCAAGCTCCATATTTATCATCTCTGCCTAAAGTGTTAGCTCCTCCAACCTCCCCCTTCATCCTCAGAACCATCTGCGGCCTCCCTCTTAACCTCTCCAATGGCTCTGCAAATGTGCCAAAAATTGACCCAAAGCTCTGTGAATGTGCTACCTCTTGGCAGAATACTCATACCTGGCATTCAGCTATTCTTCAAGGATACCCCCTTCTCTAGAAGCTTTCACAGGAAGACTGAAAGTCTTCTAAGCCTTCATACTAATAGGCCTAGAGATGGCACCAGCAATCTCCCAGGAACCCAATGCACATTCAAATGATCACTCTCCTGCCCTCCTATAAAACCTCCCCCCAAGCCTCTTCCCTTCTCTGTCACTGTCCTCTGCCATTCCGCCCGTCATTCTCCCATATTCATGGTCTCATTTTCCATCCCCTCTGCCTCAAATTTGGTGCCTTCAATGTCCACTTAAAAAATCGTCTAATCCTCTTGCTTCACAGATTCTCAATTTACTCAATGACAGATGTCTTTCCAGTTTCTTCACTAATACCCTCTCCTGGTCATAATTTCTCCATTTTTCATGTCTAACTTTCTGGGCATTGCTTCCTACCTTTTCACCTCTCTGTCTTTTTTCTCCACCCCAGATTACTAGATGACATCATGTATCCTCTAGTGTTTCACCCTCCTCCTGTCTTTACTTCCTTTCAGATAAGCCAATTCAGGAGCCCTCCTTCCTATCTGCCTATTCTCCCTTCCTGCCTGGCAGAGTCCCAACCCTGGGTTCATGCAGCTGTCTTGTTTTCCCTGTGTTGCTCCAGGAGATGCTCAGCACAGCCCGGGAGGGCAGTACCTCTCTGAACACAGGCACTTCTGCAGACTCTTTGCCCACCTCAGCTGGCCTTTGGGCACAGCCCAGAAGGGTTTCATGTGCCCCTCATTGGCTTTCTCTCCCTTTTGCCCAGTAGCAAGTTCAGGCCTTCACTCCTGTCCTCCAGTCTGGCTTTCAGCAGAAGCTCATTTCCTGCTTCATAGAGAAACAGAGGTCAGAAGATGGGACGCCCCCAATCCTCTTCCCACATTCATGCACGTCTTGTCTGTGCTTGACCTTTTCCTCCTTCTCACACCAGTGGAATGGGAACCCCTCTCCTCCCACAAAGCTAACTCTCCACCTGTGCTCTGGACCCCTTTCCCTCTGATGTCCTTGGGGCCTTGCTTCACCTCTAATTCCCTCCCCACCTTGGATCCTTGACATTCCTCCATCTGCTGCCATCTTCATCAACAAACATGCTGAGGATTCTTGGATCATAATCTTCACAGCTGAGTATTTTTTTTAAAGGACTTGTCCCTCATAGTTATTATCTGCCTTTCTTCACTTTCTTCAGTTTCTTCCTGAACACACTGCAGGCTGGCTTCCTGAACTCCACTAAAATGGCTCATACAAGGTCAACTCTGGTGGGTAGCTTTTAGTCCGCATGTTATTTCGCTTCTTTGCATCAGTTGACACTCCCAGCCCTTGATTTCTGGATATCATGTCCTTGTGATGATCCTCTGATGTATGTGGTTTCCCCATCTTCTTCCCTAACCCTGTTTCTCTACCTGCCCTCGATACATTGGCGTTTCCTGGGGTTGTCTTTGTTCCTTCTGGTCACTCTTGGTTCATTCTCATCTCACTCTGCACATACTCCCTGCATGAGCCCAGCCAGGCCCTTTGTTTAATCACCACCTTGAGTCTGATATTCTTAACTCTATATTCCCAGACCTTATTCTTGAGCTCCAGCCCCACATGCTCTCTCAAATGTTCTCCAGGCACATCACACTCAGCACATCCAAAATGAAACTTTCTCTTTCCCTTGTCCCCTCCCCCATATCTGTCCCTCAGCACACCACCCAAGAACACTTGACTTCTGCTCTAGTAAACTCACTTCCACTGCATCCTAGACAGCAGTCAAACCCGCTCACTCATGGGTCCCTGAGTGACTCACGTTCTCCTGTGCCTCTCGAATTTTAAAACATTCTGTCTAAAATATCTGAAACCTGTCAACTCATTCATCTTTAAACATCCAGTGAGGAAATCACCCCTTCTGTGAAGCCTTTCCCGAATGCCTTAGATTCTGCTGGCTCCCTGTCTGAGTCTCTCACATCACCCTCGAACCCCCCACCAGAGCACTCTCCTCATGACATTATAATTGCCTTTTACTTGTCTGCCTCCTCCACCAGATTGTGAGCAGGAGCTGTGTCCCTTTATTTATCTTTCTATCCCCAGAACCTAGCCTGGGTCCTGGAACATAGTAGGTGCTCAGTTAATGTGTGTTGAATGAATGAATAATGAATTTGCTTATCTCAGAGCAGAAGAGACTTGAAACTGCATCTTTTGAGTTTTTATGTTACAGCAGTCAACAAAGGCCATTAAATCGTCTGTATTTCCAAGCAAATATGTGTGACTTCTTTCTTTCTGACAGTCTGTTTAGAGCAGCGCTAATAGAACTTTCTGTGATGATGAAAATATATTGTGTCTGTGTTGTTGAATATAGTAGCCACTAGCAACATGTGACTGTTCAAGCTTGTGAAATGTGTCTAGTGTGAGTGAGGAACTGAATTTTAAATTTTATTTAATTTCAGTTTAAATAGCCAATGTGACTACTGGCTCCTGTATTAGACAATGCATCAGTATACTTTTTAAGATTATGGACACTGAGACCAGTGACATTCCTATCTCAGCTCTCCTATTGTCAGCTGTATGACCTGGGACTGGTGAGTACACCCAGGCCTATTTCTATACCTACCTACCACACAGATGTGCTGTGAGAATTAAGCTTTTAAAATGTGAAAGCCCTTTGAACGGTGCCTGGCGCATTCTAAGCGCTCCAGGGGCACTCCAGCCATGCTTCTGTCGATCCCTGCCCCTATAGAGAAAGTGAAGGTGAAGGGTTGGCAGGAGCAGCAGTGGGTGGCCAGCTCTTGAGAGCTGACTGTGCCCATCTCTTCCATACTCTGCATTCGGCAACATCACATTGATACCTTGACATTGGCCATGGTGAGAATATACTGGGGCAATCGGCTTAACTTTAGAAGAACACATTAATTTGTGCTGTTGGCGATCTCTAAAAATGGGGTTTGCTACATGGAAGTAACAGAACAAATAGTTAAAAACACCATTAAAGAAATCTTTACTTACTCTGGGGTGAAATCTGCATTCTGAAGCCTGTACCCTCTCAGGGCCATGCCTAAACAAATCCAAGACCTCTGATTACTCCACTTCCGACTAAGCCAGTTGCTCACCACACCACCAATGTATCGCAGACACATGTATTTAGAGCCAGATACCGCCACGGCTTGGGCCAATTGCTCAGGGTTTTCTTCTCTAACGGCTGCAGGAGAGAATCAGTAGAGTTGGGGCACACAGCAGAGAGAGTGGCAACATATCAGAGGGCAGTCAGAGAGGTGCAAGCCCCCTGTCCAAGGTGTGCCCATGATAACAGATGATAACATCCAGTGCGTGAGGAGAAACAGCACTTCTGGAAGCTCCCTTGCCTGCCCCTGGCCCAGCATTACATACAGATCACCCAATCTGTATGTAATGCACCCAAGAGTACCTCATCAGTCTCAGAGAAGAAGAACAGACAG